TAACTCAACACTCATTTGATATCGCCTCCGTGGCTCCCAATGCATCGGTTAAGTCTGAGAAAGAGGTGGGGAAGAAAAACTGACTTTTCAGAACGCTGTTTGCTTCACATACTTTTATGTAACATTTAATCATATCCATTCGATATCGTTCCATTAAAAGCTAACTTTATGAGAATAGTAGTGCGACAATATTGATTACGTCATATCACGATGCACGCGCTGAACCTCATGCGCGAGTCATGTGTTCATCACATACTTATTGGCTTTATTGCGTTCTCAAGTTTGCCTTCAAATTAATAGATGCAAAAGAAAGGGAAAGATCAACTCAGCAATCATTCAATGGCATCATAAGGGTGCCTTGATAAAATTCATCTACCTTAACCACTACCTTTTAGAGACCCCTAAATATCAAGCTTTGATTTCCTTTTTCCTGTTTGTTACTAGTAAGGTGTTGATATACTTCCACTAGTTTTTCCTAAGCTGTGTAGCATATCAATGAGCTGCAATCAAGCCGCTTCCGCATTTGGATCGCAATTCTTATTTGTAGGACTTGAATACACGTTTGAAGAAGTTGATTGGGTCGCACAAGTTGATGTTATTCATGAAAGGATCACCGGATGCTCCCCAGTGTGGTGCGTTTATTAAATTTCCTCATTTCAGTTTTTGTTCTGTAGGTGCAAATGAACTCACATTTTGTATCTATTCGACGTTCATGAACTTGAATCGTGATGTTTTTTTGAATGCATAATATTGAAAAAATTTGCTTACATTAACTATCTTTGGTTCAATCTTAACAATTAGGCTTTTCTAAACAAATGGTCGGATTACTTGATGAACTCAATGCCGATTTTGGGTATTTCGATATCTACACTGATGAGGAGGTTAGACAGGGTTTGAAGGTAAACGTTTATTTTTTCCCAAAAAACTTTTCTTTAATACAGTTTTATCTTGTATTGCTAGACATACTCAAATTGGCCGACATTCCCGCAGTTATACCTCAATAGCGAACTCATTGGTGGACTTGATGTTCTCCGGGAAGAAATTAAGGACAATGATTTTGTCGCGAAACTTCCGAAAAGGCAGGTATGTAATATTTCAATGTGTAAAGTTGCCATTCTATACTGTGCTTAGAATATTTTTCGTTACAGACAAATGATTTGAATTCTCGCCTGAAATCACTCATTGAATCTCACAAGTTAATGCTTTTCATGAAGGGTGATCGCGAACAACCGCAATGCAGTAAGCCCAGTACATATCTCCCTTCTTTCTCTGTTTTAAGTGTTATTCCAGAATTTTCTCGCCAAATGATTGAGTTGCTCAATGGAGTTGGAGCTGACTATGGCACCTTTGATATTCTTAAGGACGAAGAAGTACGGCAGGGTCTCAAAGTATGCAATTTACTTTTTTTTTCTTTCGTTCAGTTTGCAAAATATGTTATGGTAGCACTAAATCATGCGAATAAGAAAATACTGTTTCTTGCGCTAGGAGATGTATGTCAACAAATGCTTCTCGAACAGTTTTGTAAAAAATTTACAATTTTTTGAAGAAATTTTTTGTTAAAATTCAAAATATAATTTGAGGCAACTTCTACAGGCCGTATAAAATTTTCATCTTGAACGAATCAATTAGGCTAGGTGTTTTTTGTAAATTT